ACCTCTTGCCTCCTTTCTGTGACTCAGGGGTCCTTATATCCTCCTCCTATCTTCCCTTGATAGCTTCCTCCCCTCGCGGGCTCCTACCTAGTTTCTCCTACATAGCTTCACAGTTTGTAACTATTCTCACACCCCTTCACTTACATACTATAAATATTAAAAGTTGGGATCTGTGGTGGTTTGGGCTTCTTGTTAGTGGCATCGTTTGGAGAGACTTGTGTGGTGTGGCCTTTCAGGATGCATGTCCCTGGACGCAGGCTTTGAAATGAAAAGCATTATGCCACTTGCAGGTTTTGCTGTAGCTGGTGTTCTTGTGTTAATTCTTCTGCTTTGTGCTTGCGGTATAGGATGCGAGTCCCCAGCTTCCTGCTCTGGCCACACTTGCTGACCACAGCTCGCTGTCATGCGTCCCCACCATACCGGACTCTCGTCCCCTGGGAACCACGAGCCAAAATTGCTTCAGCCGTGGCCTTTATCACAGCAACAGAAAGGTAAGTGATCCAGGACCCACAAGGAGAATGTGTGATTTTTGTCTTTCTGACATTGGCTTACTTCACTAAATACAATGCTTTCCAGATCCATCCATCTCCCGCAAATTTCGTCTGTCTTTAACAGCTGAGTAATACGCCATTTATTATATATGTCACATTTTCATTATCCACTCATCTATTGATTGACATCGAGGCTGGTTCCATTCCCTGGATATTACAGATAGGGCAGCAACAGGCACGGAGCTACAGACATCTCTGTGGTAGGATAGAAAGCACTCTGGGTTTTTATATCCAGATCATACCACAGTCCCATTTCAAATGTTTTTGAGGAACTCTTCCATGCTCCTCTCAGCAGTGAGTCAGGCTCCCCATCCTTACATCCTTGCCAGAGTTTGTTGCCATTCATATTCTTGATGCGAGCCATTCTGACTGCAGTGAGATGGAACTACCAAAGTAGTTCTAATTTGCATTTCCCTGGTAACTAAGGATGTTGAGGGCTTTGAAAAATACTTCTTGTCCTTTTCTGTTTCCTGTTTGGGTAACTGTTCATTTCATTACCCCATTTCTCAGTGGGCTGTTTCGTGTTTTATTGTTTGATTCATTCAGCTCTTTACATATTGTAGACATCAACCTTCTGTCTGAAGTGTAGATGAATTCCGCCCGAAGCACAGCAAAAATTTTCTCCTATTCTGTGGGTTGTGTGTTTTCTCCGATGATAGTTTCCTTTCCTGTAGAGAAACACTTCAATCTCATGTCATCCCATTTGTTGATTCCTGGGCCCATTTCCTGTGCTACCTGAGTCTTGTCCAGAACATTCTTGACTGCACCTATGACCTGAAATACATTCCCTGCGTTTTCCTCTAGCAATTCTTGTGTTTCATATTTTAAGCCAAGGACTCTGGTCCACTCTGGATTGCCGCTTCTCTGGGATGAGAGCTGACGATCTAACTTCATTCTTTTTTTGGGGGGGGTGTGTATCCAGTTCTGCCAGGACCATTTGTTAAGCAGCCTTTCTTCTACTGTATGCTTTTGATGCTTCTGTGTGGGTGCAATCTTCAGAATCACTCTGGACACTTAGCATTCAGTCCCATCAACGTCACTTCCCCCCAGCCCTCCGCCTACGCTCAGTGTCATCCCTGAGTCATTGTCCAGACTTGTCTCTTGACGCTTCACGTGTCTGCCTACCAGGGCCATCCCTTAAAGAAAACTAGCGGTCCCCCTTCCAGAAGCTATCTGTTGCCAATAGCTCCCGAGCTATGGTAAGGTTTCGTGCCTACCTACCCTGCCCCTGCTGGAGTTTGGACTAGTTTGAGCAAAGTCTTGTATATGTTGTCACAGACACTGCAAGTTCATTCAGCTGCTCTTATGTGCAGCTGGAAAAAGCCTGGAAAAGCCTGTTTCGCCGACTGCCTCTGGCACCCTCTTCTGCACTGATCCATTTTGATGTAGTTAGGGGATACATATTCTCTTTATGGTTTCTTCTTTTGATCACATGCTTGCATTTCCCTAGCCTGCCACATTTATTTTGGAGAGCTTTCCATTGCAATGCACCTCAAGTCATGGGGAGAGTTACAAGCAGGAATGATGTAAGTGCAAGAAAGTTCTACTTCCAGGAGGAAGTCATGAAACAGGTTTGTTCCAAATAAATCCCTAGTATATTAATAGAAGAAATACACAGAACATGAAGAAAATGTCACCAGATTTCCTGGAAGAGAGATGTCAGTGTTCACTGGCTTCAGTGCCTTTGGAGCCTTGAGGCAAAGTAAGAGAAGAAGGTAACCAATGTCACCTCCAGCCTCCAGGGTGTTGCTGACCTCCATGGTCACAGTTTTAAATGTGACTAATGGCTAACCGAAGAGAATCCCATTGCTCTCTGCTGCTCTAGGTAGCAATCCCAGAGAGGTCAAGGGCAGTTAGGGCCCTATCATTAGATGTTCTCCTGGGAAACCTCAAATATATAAAAAGCAAAGAGAATTGCACAGTAAGCCTTGCCTCCCCGAAGATCTTTCCCGAACTTAAGAATTATTCCAGCTGCTCTCAGTCCCTGACGCCCATGTCTCTAGGCATCCCGAGGCAGACACAGCATCCCATCCGTAAACAGTTCAGGATGTCCCTTTAGGGACGTCACCCCCGGGAAGTCTGATGGTCTCTGCTTACACTCCCAGCCTCTTCGGGACTTGGCCCTCGTATTCACATCTCTTCAGGGTTTGACGCCCCGCCCTAACGTGGCTGCTTGAGAAGCTGTTCTACCTGAAGACAAGGACCTCCCTCTTCCCACACCACGGCTGCTTCTTATTACAACTGGTCCTCACTGTGGGAGGATTGGCTCTAGAACATACTACCACCTCTGCCAACACTCCCCACATGCTCCAGACCCTTATGTAAAATGGAAGGGTGTAAGGAGTATGGTTTTTCCGCCCACCGCCAGTCTTGTCCCGCCGCCACGCCTGCCCCAATTAACACACTGAGACTCTGTATTTGATATAATCCTGTTGGCCCATTACTAGTTTCTTATCGGCTAGCTCTGTCTTAAGTATTAACCCATTTCTATGTATTTTCATGTGGTCTTACCAGCGAGAGGCGGCTGGCAGTTCTGCCTTCTCCTGACTCTTCATCTTGACGGCCTCCTTACTACTTCCTATTTCCTCCTTGTCTCCCACCTATCTTGCTTTCCTATTGGCCAACAGTGCTTTATTCATTAACAAATATGAGAAACATATATACATAATGGCATCTCCCATCATCTCCTCTTTTCCGTCTAAATAAAAAGAAGGGTTTTAACTTTAACAAAGCAAAAATATGTAACACAGCACTTATCAAGTAAGAATCACAGTTAACAATATTTAGTACATTAACATTTAGCAAGATTTGAAGAAAATATTTCATCATCTATCCTATCTTTGTGTGTCTAAAGTTTAAGTAACTTATCTTTAATCCTAAGTAAGGAAAACTATAACCATAACTATTTGTCTTCAACTCCATCAAAGACCACAGAAGGATAATATATAAACTCTAGAAATGACAGAGACAACTCACTGTCTGGCCAGTCACCCGAAGTTCTTCTGTAATCTTCCATCTTCAGCCCATAGGCCATAGTGTGTCTGGCAGACTCTTCAGCAAAGCAGGAAACTTTAAACTGTCTTCTTGTATTGGCAGTTTGTCAGTCATTTTTCTCTGTGTCCTGCCTACTGTCTGGCAGACTCTTCCATGAAGCAGGAACTCTGTAGTAATGTCCATCTTGAATCAGCAGTCACTTTTCTGTGGGTCCTTTCCTGCATGTCCAGTTTATACAGCATAAAGTCAAACAGTCCAGACAAGAGCAGTATCTTGTCCAAATGGCTAGTCATGCCATACTGGAAGTAAACTCCATAATGAGTTTCTTGAATGTCCATCTTCCTTTTTGACGAAGGTGGTGTTGCCAGGAGCATTTATGTCTCATTGTCGAGAAAAACCCTAAACCATTTTAAATGCCATATTCTGTAGGTCTTTGAAAGGTTTGAAGAATGCCTATCCATCTCAAATATATGTCTGTACATCTAGAAATCTTAACTAACTTAATTATAATATCTGACTATCATAGATACTATCTATAATCTGTATTGAATTATACATTACATTTCTAAATGAGCTATATAAACACAATACCTAAACAAGAGGAGAAACATATATATCACAAAATTGACCTTAAATTGTATCAATAAATGAAAATCCATTCCAAAACAAAGTATCCATATCTATATCTATATCAATATGACATCTCCCATCAGAGGGGTTTCTGCGTGTAACCTCCCTCCCTCCTCCAGTGTACCTTAAGCCATCAATGATTCCTGACACCCACTACAATGTAAATGCCATATGAGTAGCTATTATACTGCACTGGTTAGGTAGTGATGGGGAAATGCTCAAGGTCGGTATAGATGAACCTTCTGATCTAAGATTTGCTGAAGCCACAGATGAAGAGCTTGCAGACAGTAAGGGCCTGCTGGACCGAATTGTACATAAATGCCTTGGCCACATATATCCTCCCCCACACTCTATTACTAGAGGCTCTTTTCTTCTCCAGGAACATGACTACTTCAAACCCACCCTCCACCTCCTCTCTCCTTGCCTGGGGTGGTTTTATAATAGAGAAAATGTCATTCAACTTGGGAAGAGAAAAGGCCTCATCTCTCCAGCAAATCCAGCCTGTCTTTGGTTCCTCGGTCCCCGGATGCCCGTTCATAACTCTGAGCCAGAGAACTTTCGACATCTCTGAAGCTCCACAGGTACCCTCAGCAGCAAGGAGCTACAAACTTCCAGCTCAGCAGAGGCCAGCTCCTCCCACCCTACAAGGGGACGTGGTAACAGTTCCTTTTTCTCCTCTCCCTCATTTACTGCCTCTACACATAACTTCTTCCAATACATCTCTGTTACAACTCATCAAGAAATTAAATCGGGTTATTTTTTATTTGGCCAGAAAAAAAAAATAATCCTCTGGCACAGGGGCACAGGGATTATCAGTCACATTACCTCATCAAAGACCTTGGAGACAACGTGCTTATTCAGGATGGGAACATACGTGGGAATGTGGGGCACCACCGTACCAGCCAAGGCATCCATGATGGTGAGCTTCTTGGCCGCCAGGCCATGGGTTTGGAGCCAGTTTTCGGAGGACATGTCTAAAGAGCTAGGAACACACAAGACTGTAGAATTTAAAACTTGTGACTTAGTCATTCACAAACAAAACCAGAACCAACTGCCCCCTTGGATCAAAGCACTCACGTGCGGTCATTAACCTGGCTTCGGTTTCCAGTGAGTCTTTCCGACAACTTGTCATTGAGGTATTTATTCATCTGCAGGATGCTTATTTCTGTGGGATGGAATAGCAGCTGTGTACATGGGGGCTGACATCAAGGATGGATCGATCATGCAGTGAGCGCCCACCAGCTCCATAGAAGGGTCAGGTGTGCTCGCAAGCCATTTCTTCACAAGCCGCATTTAAGATGCTTAACAAGGCTATGATTTACCAGTGATTCCCCAGCACTAGGCTCCCCCACAACTACCAGAGGAGTGACTTGATCGATATTTTCCAACCCAGACACTTTGTTTCATGGCTCTTCAGCTTGGTGAGGGAAACCACCAAGTCTGTTGGGTTTTTAAGTTCAAATTTTGAAATTAGCATGTGGAGTTTTAAACGTACATCTTTATATAAACGTGGGTTTCTAAACGGAGAGGAATATTCCTTCACTGCATTCGCAGCAGCTAGAAGGTGCGCATTGGTTAAATGCTTAAGAAACCACGTTGTAGCCACCATGTGCTAAGTTCCATAGTGAATGGACTGCGTGTGGGCAGCTGAGGACATGCAAGCTACTCTGAAAGGGTTCCCACACAGCATCAATGAAGCTAACAGAGTCTGATGCAGCCACGACAAGTTAACACAGGCGTACTTCCTAAGGGACTGTGTACCGTTCTCAGGATTTAGTAATTAATTGTTTGAAATGTAGAGAGCACACGCTGTAGAACTCAATTTGATTTAAGAAAAACATCACCTCATAATTAGCCGCTGAACGCACAAGTTATACCTTCCTCATGCTTAGCCTTACGAGTTTGACAGCTGGAACCAGAAAGGAGCTGCCTGGGTAGCAAGAGTTTCAGGTTTACAGCACAGAGTAGCTGACATTTCTAACACGGTAGCCAAGTGAGCCAAGAGCGTGCCAAACACCCAGACACACAAATCTAGTAGCACAAATCTAGCCCTAGGAATATCCAGGGCACCGAGGTAGGTTTATCTGGTTTCCAAGGGAGGAAACTACAACATTGTAAGTGTGACTTCTTTGTTTCTCTCCCCTCAACATCTCCCACCCGTCTTTCAGACACAGAACAGAGGATAAAAGGAAGATGAAAGGAGTCCCCTGGCCCTCTCACGCTTGCCTTTGTCACCCAGAGCAAGGCAGCTGCTGGAGTTGGAGGTCTCCTTCGTGTCTCTGCAGGTCTTGGATGTGTGGCTTCTGAGCAGGCTGGTTTTGGTTGCTTCTGTTGAGACCACACAGAGAAGGGTTGGGGATGGGAGATGTCTGATTAGACAGAACTACTCTACCAAATTACTGTTCACTTTAGGCTGGGGACATGGCTCAGTCAGCAACGTGCTTGCTATGCACTTACAGAAACCCGAGTCTGATCCCCAGAAACCATTTGAAAGCAAAAGGCCAGGTGTGGTTGAAATCCCTGTCACTTGGGGATGTGAAAGCTCCTTAGGCTTGCTGATTCACAAGTCTAATCTGGCCGGAGAGATCAAGGCCAGTGAGAGACCCTGTCTCAAAAAAACAAGGTGGAGGGTAGGTGAGGAAAAACATGCAAAGGTGACCTATCTCCTCCATAAGTACACGCATGCACACACGCGCGCATGCACGCGCGTGCTCGCACACACGTGTATGGCCCTGCACGGACCCCCGAGGCACCTTGAGCAAGCCTGAAGCTGTTGGCTGGAACATCTTGCCCCAGAGTTGTTGCTGGTTCTCTTCATGATTTGCTAACACACATCTGCTGGGGAGGAACTGAGCCCGAAAACTTGCACGCTTGACCCTTGATCGTTTTCCACCGTGCTGTGAGTCAGCATACAAGCCCGCTCCTTCCCCTCAATAAATGACATTGGGCATTCGGGCATTCCTGTCGCACGAATGATCCGCTGTCCTGTCTTTTGTTTAAATCTCTAGGCCTTCGCCCTCAGTTTTCTTGCTGTGTGTGTGTGTGTGTGTGTGTGTGTGTGTGTGTGTGTGCACGCGCGCGTGCGTGCGCACGCATGCACGCGCTTTAATTTGGTTAGAGTTTGGTGGGTTTTATTTTCTTTTCCTTTGCAGCATGGTTTTACTTTGCTTTCTTGGTTTTGGGGATTTTGTTTTTGAATTGGGTTTTTGTTTGTTTATTGAGAAATAACAAAGTTAGGTGAGTAGGGAGGGGAGAGGATCTGGAACAACTTGGAGAAAAGGAAGAATATGATCAAAATATATTTCAATAATAAAAATATAATGAAATGTCAAACTATAGCAACAACTATAGCCAAGGAAGGAAGGAAGAAAGGGAGGGATAGAGGGAGGAAGGGAGGAAGGGAGGGGAGGAGGGAGGGAGAGAAAGAGAGAAAAAGAAAGAGGGAGGAAGGTATTTGAGCTGAATCTCAAACCTCATACAAAATGAACATCAAATATAGAAAAGAAAACCCACAAAATTTCTAGAAAAAAAAATCTTCAAGACTTAAAACTAGAATTTACATGTGTCATCAATAAGGGTCCAAGAAAGGAGAACCTGGCCCATTAAAATCCCGTTTGACGAAGAAAGATACTACGGACGGAAACACAAGTCACAAACGGAGAGGGAAAGTTTCAAATGACTGATCTGAGTCCCCGTGCCTAGAACATCTGAGCACTCTTAAAACTCACCAGTGAAACTCAAAGCATTCATTTACTATTCATAACACAAGTGCACAGAACAAACTGCTAACCCATGTATAATCTTCTATGGATATACAGAAAATGATGCTAAGTGAGAAAATAGCCAATTCTGTGATTCCATTCCTAAAACGTTTGTGAAATGTAACATTTTAGAAAGGAAACAGTCATCCCCAAAGGCCAAGGTATGTAAGATGTATGGGTGTGATGTAGAAGGGCAGCCTATAGAGAGAGCCCTCATGGTGATGGAATTTCCCTGCATCCCTACACAGATGATAAAAACCCAAACAGTCAGACAGGAAAAGCTGGGACAAATCTGAATAGAACATTTGGGATTTACCAATGTCAACATTCTGCTTGTGGTGTCATAATATTATTCTGTAAGACGTTACCATGGGAGGGTGTCTACAGGGTAATGCTGTGATATTATGCAAACTGTCTTAACAGAAATTTCATTGAATAAAACAAGCAGAAGATGAGGGTAGCTCAGAGGTGGTAGGCTTGCCAGGAATGAGCGAGGCACCCAGATAAACAAACAGATGCTTAAATTAGGGTCTTAAAAGAAATCCCCTGTGGGGATTCATCTCACTGGAGGAAAACCAGCCAAGAGTCACCTGGTCCTATGCACGGGTACCTGCATGGAGGATTTTCTTTTTCTGGGTCTTTCCATCCAAAACCTTCCATGGTCCTTTAAACATATTTGGAGGTGAAACAGCCATTGAGTCAGCATCCGATTGAGAATTTGCATTCTTTTCTGAGGTTAAAAACATGGAGGAGAGTTCCTTTCCATGCCTGTTTGGTTAAAAAAAAAAAAAAAAAAAAAAAAAAAAAATTTTTAAAGTAGATCAATAAAAAAGGAGGGCAAAAACTAAAAACATGCCCATTAAGAAGGAAGACAAGCGGATTAACACACACCGAACCCTGCAGACTGAAAGTGGACACCCCCAGCCTGTGCGCTCAGCGGGAAGTCCTCATAACTAAGAGTGTAAGCAAAATGGGCGGGCTAAAATACATGCATTAATCCAACCTTCCTGTCCACCAAGACCCAGTCTTCCTGTTATCAAATTAAGCATGAATCTGCCTGAGTGCGTGGACAGAGCAGGGTGTCAGGTCCAGCCCCTGAGTCACGCAGTGTGCCCGCTATTACAGATGTGTGACCTCACTCAAGTCACTCAGTCCGGGCTAAGCTTCTTCAGTTGTGTCATCAGTAGCCCTGGAGCTTCGTCTGTGCACTGAACATGGGGGCTGCTGTGAGGACCAATTAGGGACAGCGTGCCAGCACTCTGGAAACCCGTTCTCTAGCTGGTGTCACTTAGCAAGCTCCTGTAAAAGCCCGGGCTTCACACACTGGCAAAGACTGTAGAGAATCTCCGAGACCAGGAGGGATCCAGAAATGTTCAAGTCTCATCCCAGACATTTCTGTCTGGGGGCTCTGAAAACAGCGGCCACAGGACAGCTGTGCGTCCCCACCCCCACGACCTGTCCTTTGTGACTGTATCCACACGGCGCATCCATCCCTCAACAGGACGGACCAGGCTTCAGGCACCCACTTCTCCTGCTGCAGGGTTTGTCCTCGGTACATTAAAAAATAAATACAAAGATTTGGAGGTTGTTACATTCCCCCCCCATGGAAAACTTCAAAACAGTTGTCTGTTGTTGCTAATGGCTAAGTGGGAGAAATCACTTTCCTAATGCCCTTAACTAAAGTGAGAAGTGAGGAAGTCTGGAGGCTGAGCCACGCCTTTTGCTGTTTTCCTCTTAAGTTGGAGAGCCTACTGGGAGCTCCACACACCCACTCCACCACCTATCACCGCCCTTTCCCACACAACAGGTGAGAAAGCAGGCTCTTTGAGATAAGCATCCAAAGTGTGACAGTTGCAACAGTAACATGTCTCTAACTCCAGAGTGCTGTCCAGGCTCCGGACCTCCAAACTGAAAACACAACACTGCTCAGTCAGATAACAGGAGCAGCTGGTCATTTGTCTAAGATGTCTTTACTTAAACAAGGAAGACAGTCAAGGGGCTGGCTGGAAGAATGGGAAGGCTTGCTTATATTCAAGTGATGCTTACTGATTTGATTTTCAGTTCATTTGTGAAGTTTGGAAACACATTTGCGCTTTCCCAAATTCTCAAAAGAAAACACCGTACAATCCCTTTCTAAGACAGCCCGCTGTAGGACAGGCCTCTTTTTTTTTCTCCTAGTTTAATATCTGTGTTAATGCTTAATTTCTTAACAGGAAGACTTTGTTTAGATGAATAAAAAAATTCTGCTTAATAAATGCCATCTCCCTGACACGGTGGGCACACGAATATCTGCACAAGCAACCTTAAATCACTTCAATAAGATTCGACACATTTCCCGAGTGTTGGGACCAGCTGCGGGTGTGTGTGTGTGTGTGTGTGTGTGTGTGTGTGTGTGTGTGTGTAATCACCACAGAGAAGTGCAGCTACAGGCTGCAGAAAGGTGTCACCACAGCCCTGATAAGGAAACAGATCCCGGCCATGGAAAGGTGTGAGAGGAAGTCAGTGCCTATCAGTGCTTTGCAGAATCAAGCCCAGACCTCACGCTAGGTCTCCACCTCAAGCGCCCACCCCTCTCTGCCCTGTCAGTCACCCCTTTCCGCCCGGGGTGTGTGTGGGGTGCTTTCTGCATAAGTCCAATGTTGCCAGGCCACCCTCTTCTGTCAAATATTCTAACATAACCAGAGGACACCCTCCTCTCAATGGGTCCTTCAGAGAGGGGAGAGTGGGGCACGGGGAGGGAGTGGGTGGGGAGGGGAGGGAGCAGGGGAGAGGACCCAGCCAGCGCCAGGCAGGTGGTTTGGCAGCTCACTTGCTGACCCCTTCCCTTTCTCCACTGTACCACCAGCCCATGACTAAGGACTCAGAGTAAAGCTCCTGCATCTTCTCCAGGTCGCTGTAGCCCTGCTGCATTTCCTCAATCAGAAGGCTCAAGTCTTCGTCCTGCTGAAATGAGAGTTAGACAGTCAGGCGCTCCCACGAGGATGCAAGCATCCTGCACGGAGACAGCGTCAGGCAGAGAAAAAACCTGAAGAACCTCACCGAGTTCTTTCGCCATCCCAAGCCCAAGCAACCTTAATGTCTGTTAGTGGCATACAACGAAGGGGATTTACACACTTGTGACGGTATTGTGACAAAAGCAGGACTCAGCCCCCAAAGCACCCCAGCCCCCATTTGTAAATCTGGTCTCCCTCATCCTCCCTAGTTATCAGGAAAATGTTTAAAAACACATTCTGTCATTACACATCAGTTTGAATTTTCTACAAATGGAGTCATACAATTAATGCTCAAAGCCTCTGGAGCTTCCTTGGCTCATAATTATTTTGAAATTCACTCACACTGGAGTATGAACCTGCCATTCATTTGTTTTACCGTTAAGTAGTTTCCTGCTCTATAGTAAATATAAAAACGTATCCATTCACTTGCTCATGGCCAGCTGAACTCTTTCCAGGCTTGGGTTGTTGCAGATAAAGTATATGAGTCATTTGGGTGGACATAAGCTTCTAATTATTTTTGGTAAACAGGAGCCTTGGATAACTAGATCATGTGGATGATGATGTTGCTGTTTGGAACAAACTGCCAAACTGGTTTTCAAATGGCTCTTCTTTTTATAACCCTGCCAGTAAGGTCTGATCCCAGACGGTCCACATCCTAGGAAATGTAGAGCATAGCTGGCCGTTAGCACTTAATAATGGTCTATTTGTGGCTTTAATTGCTAACCAGGATGCACATCCTTTTGTGTTATTTAACCGTACACATAGTCTTTTGCTAATGTTGTGTTTTTCCCTAAAACGGGGTCTTGTAGTGAGATAGTCCTTCTGTGGCACTGACCACGCCCATTGGGGGGTGGAGCCATGGGCGGAAGTGACCTGTGGAAGGAGGTCTGAGGAAGAGCTGGGAATGCTCTCTTGCTGGCATGACTCGGGTTGAATTTCCTGGTGTTCATCTGTCTAGGTTGTAAGTTATTTCTTCCTGAATAAACATCTATTCGGACTATTTGTTTATCCTGATCCTTATTAAACCGCGATAGGGTCTTGCTATATATCCCAGGTCAGCCTTGAACTCACGGTCCTCCTGACTTTGCATTTTCAGCAGTGAGATTACTGTGTTCCCCCTTGACCTGGTCCCATTTATATTCTTTCTGATTAAAAAAAAAAAGTCTGTTTAAAAATTTGGCCCACATTATTGAGTTTTGAGAATAAGAAATTTAGTGGATACAGAATTAGAAAGTACTTTCCTCCTACTCCACAGGATTTCTTTTTAACACTGTAGCAATCTTTTTAGAGAAGAAGCTTCTAAATTTTGGTTTATTCCAAATGATCAACTTATTCATCTACAGATTTATATCCTATCTAAAAACATATATGCATATATATTTTTCCCAGCTAGGCATTGTGGCATGTGCCTGCAACCTCAGCCCTTGGGAGGTCAAGGTAAGAGAGCCAAGAGTTTGAGACCAGCCTGGGCTACATAGGGAGACCATGTTCTCCAGTTTTGTTCTTCAGAAAAGTTATTTTGGTAATGATAAATCCTTGGCCTTTCCATAGGATCAGCTTGCTGGTGTGTGTGTGTGTGTGTGTGTGTGTGTGTGTGTGTGTGTGTGTGCAGACACATGGAGTTCTGTCTTCTTCCTTATACCTAGCCTGGCATTTGAGGATTTAATTATTACAGAAGTGTGCGTTGAATTTGGTAAAGAGTTTTCAATGTGTAAACTGAAATGGTAGTGTGTGTCTTTTAAAGATGTATTTAACTTTATGTGTATGAGCATTTTACCTGCAGGTATGTTTGTGTATCACGTGCCTGGTGCCTGTGGGAGCCAGAAGAGGGTGTGTGATCCCCTGAAACTGGAGTTACAGTTGGTTGTCAGTTGTTATGTGGGTGCTGGGAACCGAACCTGGGTCCTCTGGAAGAGGAACAAGTACTCTTCTCAATCACCAGCCTTACGTTTCGTTTTGTCTTTAATAAACTGGGAAACTATTGGCTGTTAACAGCTGCTTACGATCCAGTCGATGACCCCACGCCCATCCCCACACGGGCAGCATTGACTAGACTCAGGAAGCTATTAATAATTTTTCTTTTAAAGACTTGAAGTCATGGGAGAGATGTGTTGGTGGGCCCTGGGAGAGTTCAAAGGGAACAACAGAGGATGTGCACATGTATGGAATTTTCAAGGGATAAATAAAAACAACAGTATTGGACTGGAGAGATGGCTCAGCAGTTAAGAGCACTGGCTGCTCTCCCAGAGCAACAAACATCTGGGATACAGATCCAGGGGATCCAATGTCCTCCACTAGTCATGTATGTGGTATACAGACACACATGCAGGGGAAATGCTCACCCACATAAAATAAAACAAGAAAAATGAAAATTAAGAGTGTTGATATGGTGAGCTATATGTTGCTTTTAAAATGCTAACCTAGCATTGCATTTCTGCACTAAATCCAATGTGATTGTGGTGTGTCAGATGTTTTGTGTATTTTATTTGTTGCGTTTTGTTGGCGACTTTTGCATATTTATACCTGAGGAATCTCACCTTCTAGTTAGATTTCTGAATCAGGTCAGTATTTGTCTTATGGGGGTGGGGCGGGAAAGTGCCCTCTCTTCTCGAAGTTCTAGAAGAAATCTATCTACAAAGATCAACGCTCTTTCCCAGATCCTTGCATGTGCTATGCAAGTGTTGTACTACTAAACTATGCCTTCAGCCCTAGAACTGATATTACTTTCATCTTCAATATTTGGTATAGTTCAGCAGGGAGGCCACCTGGGGCTGGAGTCACCTGTGAGGAAACCATTTAACTAAGAACTCTAATATTTTTGATAGATGCAGGCTTACTTATACTTTATATAAGCTTTCATTCTCTGAAATGTATGCCCAGTAGACCAAGGACCAGGCCATGTGGTAATTAAATATTTTGCTTTCATAGAAATGGCCAGATTGCTTTTCAGCGTGCCTGTATTTTGGACTCCAGCCAACAACATGCAGGGCGACCTGGTCTCTCATCCCACCAGCATGTGGTTTCCTCTGCCATTGTCATGGACAGGGAGTTCAAGGCCTGGACTTCAGCTTGTGTTCTCCTAAGGCTGGCGGTACCTGGCGCCCTCTCGAGTGCTTACTCAGCACATCCCTGCGGTCTCTTTAATGCAATGGCTGCATGTGTTCTGCAGCCCTGGGGATTGAACCCAGGATACTGTCCGTGCCAGACAAGTCCTCTGCCCCTGCCCTATATCTCCCCGGAGCCTCTTTAAGTTTTTCTTAAAGGTTTCATTCAATTTTCCAGGCTGGATATTCGAGTGTGCTTTCTGTAGCTGTGATAAAAGCAACTTGGGTCAGAAAGGGTTTATTTCATCTTACAGGTTCACTGTCCTTCACTGAGAGGAGTCAGGACAGGAACTCGCAGGAACCCGGGGCCACGGAGGGCCACGCTTACTGGCTTGCTCACTCTGACTTGTTTAGCCTGCTTTCTTGTATCCCCCAAGTCCATCTGCCAAGATGTAGCACCACACGCAGTGAGCTGGGCTCTCCCACACCAATCATTAATCAGGAGAACGCTCACAGATTTGCCTGCAGGCCAATCTGATGGATGCAATCCCTCAGCGAGGGGCTTCCTCTTCATCGAGGGATTGAGACTCTAGATTGTGTGGAGTTGGCATTAAAAACAAAAACAAAAAATAAAACTAGCCAGCACACTGGCCTTGGACTAAACATAACCTAGGCAAATCTAGAACTCCTGATCCCCTGTAAATTTGTGTTTTATATTCAGGCTCATGATCCACTTTGCATGTGTATGAAGATCAGCATTTAGGTTAAGGTTTACCATTTTGCCTGTGGATGGCTAGTGTTCCAATTATTTGTTGGAAAGATGATCTTTCCTTCTCTGAATTGTCTAAAAGCAGTCAGGAGTGTTGTGCATGGCTGTTCTGATGGTCTATGTAGCTATCCCCCACCAAAGCCATGTTGTCTCCATTAGCACAGCTTCTCCCCCTCCCCCCCACACCCCTTAGCATCAGCTACAGAGCTTTTCCCCCTTTCATTATGGCTAGACCATTCACTGTTGTGCTGTTACACATGCCTGGCAGTGTTTGATTGGTTTCCAGACAGCGTAGATATTTTTGGTTTCCCTACCATTATTTGGGGCAGTTGTTCTATGATGCATGTGGTTGGAAATGGTCTCATTCCCTCAAGCAGCCTTGTCCTTAAGATGTCCACTATGGAAGCATCACCAATCCGTGAACTCTACAAAATACCCTAAGTAGGGTTCCCTTACTCACTGACCAAGCCATCGCTATTCCCCGCCTTGGGTGGCCTCAGAGCACAGTTCCCTCTGAGTTCAGTCCTCAGACTCCAGTAGTCTCAGTCATTAAGTGTGATCAGTTTCTGATTTGTATTGTTAACTTCCTGTTATGGTTTAAAGTCTCTTCCTGGGTATACAAGAAGGCGAAAAAGCCACAACCCCACATTCCTCTAGCAGAGCTCCTTGAGTAATGTTTTTCAGGCCAAGGCTGGAGGGTTAGGGAATACTTTCATTTACCTTCCTCCCTTCTGAGTGAGTTGCTTTATCAGAGGGCCGCATGGTTACATCTCTTAGAGTTAGGGGGCAGATATTTAGCATCTGCGATTTTTAAAAAATGTTTCTCACACATGTGTGTTTATATAGCAGTAGTTAAAAACCATTATACATATGGTCTGGAGGATTGGCCCAATGGTTAAGAGCGCTGGCTGTTCTTGCAAAGGACCCAGATTCGATTCTTAGCAGTCACATTGTGACTTACAACCATCTGTAACTCCAGGACACCTGAGGCTCTCTTCTGGCCTCCTGAGGAACCAGGCATGTATGAGGCATACAGACATATATGCAGGCAAACACTTATACACACTAGGTAACAACACAGTATAGTTTTGAAAAATTAAAAATAGGACACTCTTTACATATGGATCCCTGGGACCCTTGCTTTTAAAGCAGATCCCTGAATTTTGACAAATTGTTCCGAACTGCTGAATTGAGTGGTGGTTAAATTGGATTCATGTACTTTTATATTTTTGTGTCTGTTTAAGACGATCTATCACAAAAGTAAAAATGGAAGGAAACAAAATGTATTAAGATCCTTGGGTCATAGGACTTCCTGGCTTATACCTACGGCCACAAGGTCCACAATGTCCTAAAGTGTCTTGAGACCCTTGGGCCACATTTGGACTAGTGCCATCATTAGTGGATTGGATGCTTGTACAGCTGCAGCTTTCCCAACTTGGGTGCTGCCCGATCAATCCCTGAGACTGGTAACACTCGAATAGATGAATGAACCATCTTGTTCAGTGCATCAAGTTCCCACCTGAATACCCTGAAGAATAGGATCCTTGCAGCCAAAATCATAAGCACGGAACTCTCCTCCAGTCAAGGAAGCAAGCTCCTTCAAGAACCCATTTGCAACCTTATCATTGTAATTGAAGGAGATCGCATAGATAGGAATATTCTGAAAGAGTCTGACGTGGTCCATCACTACTTCTGGTGGCTGAAATGATAAACAAGAGAAACCGGGAGAGGTTAAGAAAGAAAGTGGTATCACATGACAAATTCTTCCTATCTGCCCTAGGCAGTCAAATTCTGAGATAGGAATTGCTCATAGAGTGAGTAACATTTTTGTCTATGGGTTAGTTCACTTCAATATGCAAACCGTCTACCAAAGAGCATGGGGACCCAAAGGCCATGGTCTTCTCCCTCTGAAAGTCACACTGTGGCAGGAAAAGGCAGTTAGGGAAAGGGTTTGTCTAATAGAATCACCCAGCCTGAAGTGCACCTAAGCATAGGAAACAATACAATATAGTTTTGAAAAATTAAAAATAGGACACTCTGTCCTATTTTTAGGACCATGCCAGTTGGGCTGCGGTCTAAGGTATGTAAAGCACTGGAGAGATCGTCTTGGCCACTGGGATCCCACATAGTGGGGGCCTGGCTTCCCAATTTGGCTTCCAAACATCTCTACCAAAAGAGTAAGTTCTGCTTTTACAATGTTGTAGGTAATTTGTTTCTCAGAGATAGAGGGAGAGAAAAAGAAAACCGTCTGTTAAAAGTCTTTCCATGCACTGGGCATTTCATTTAAGGCTTAAGTTCCTGGTTCCTCCTTACAAGCATCAGTTAACCCTTTCAAGCATCTTGTGAGGGTGGTTCTGGAAGGAACGATGACCGCCCCAGCTACTCTCTGTTCTTCTCTGTCCTGTCTTTCCCGGGTCATTCCCTCCAAGTGACACACAGCTAGCACCTCCATGTAAGGTATGACTAAGCTTCCCTGTGTCACCAAGTTCTCAGGTGATAAAGGAGGAGACCACACCCACAGTTCTAGGGCAGATGATTTACACCCCTGCAGTGTGGTAAAAATCACATTACTTGCCTGCCAGGAAAGAATTCCGCTGCCATCTTCTTCCCCACTACAGCCCAGCCAGTGCCTTCAGAAACTGCCCCCAGCTGTGCCAGGACCCCCCCCCCCCCCCGCGCGTCCTCAGTGTTAGAAGTTCCTCTTTGATCATCCAGCTTTCGGGCTCCTTCTGCCAGTTCCAGCTTCTATCCATGGTTCCTGCCCTTTGCCCTTTAACCTAGCCTCGTGTCTTTTCCAATGAATCCCCAGGGCCTTCTCCGAAGAGGCTGCTGTTTAAAAGGTCCCCGGAGACTAAGCCTGTGTAGGCCACCTCTCAAACATACCCCCCGTGTATTTAGCACTATCCCCGAGTCTATGCTACTCATAAATGCACTTCCTCTGACCATCCGCTGGACTATTAGCCAAACATCAATTCAACATAACCAACAAGCTGCCCGTATTTCTCTTGTAAACTACAAGAGAAGTGTGTCATTGATGGGGGATGTCCTTCTGTGTGCTATGAAAACATGTTTCTCTTATTGGTTGATGAATAAAGCTGTTTCGGCCAACCGACAGGCATGATGTAGCCAGACAGGAAATCTGAACAGGAATAGAGAAAGGTAGTAGGCACAGTCAAGGAGATGCCATGGAGCTATCAGGAAGGTAGGACACAGAGTCATTCTCCAGTCAGCCATGACCACAAGGAGATACACAGACTAATAGAAATGGGTTAATAAGTAAGAGAGAGAGCTAGCCAGTAAGAAGCCTGAGCCATCAGCTGGACCATTTATAATATAAGCCTCTGTGTGTTTATTTGGCACTGAACAGCTATGGGACTGGAAGGGACAGAAACGTCAGTCCACAGGCCATCCCTGCCTGCTTCCCACTCAGCTCCCCTTTCCGAGCGCTTACTAGACGCTAGGTAAGTGCTGCGCTCGGGTTTCTCCAGCATCCTTCTATACCTCTGAAGGAGGGATGCAGGTTTCGTTTCCTACTAGGACCATAACAGCCTCTGCTTCTCGACTCAACAAACCAGACAAGAGACAGACCCTTGTCACCAGCAGTCACCACCAGCCTGGTCCCAGAGCCGCATCAGCTCCCAATTAACATGCAGAGACAGTGTATTAATTATGAGACTGTTGGCCTGTTACTAGCATTTCTTATTGTCTAGCTCTGTCTTAAGTATTAACCCATCTCGATCAATCTAAATGTTTCCGCGTGGTCTTACCTTACCCCATGGTCTACATCTTGACTCCTCTCTACTACTACATCTCCCAGAATTCTCCTTGTCTCCTAGTCCCGCCTATCTTGCTTTCCTATTGGCCAACAGGGCTTTATTTATTAACCAATAAGAGAAACATGTTTACAGAATGGCATCTCCCATCAGGCCCTCATTCTGGTCATCAAACAGTGTCAGCAAGGTACTGCTCTTACAGTGACTTACAGCGGAGACGCTGAGAGAGGAAGGAAGTCCACAGGGCTATAATTCCAGCTCCATGCTGGGAACCATAGCTGGCGTCCCCACTTTGTTAGCTACATGACAAGCATCCCTTTGCTCACTGCCTCTCCTTCTACTGAAAGCTTCCCTGAGGGCCAGCACCTTGTGCATCTTGCTCACCGTTGTGGCTTCAGGCTGAGAAGAGAAGCTCTGGTACTTTAATATTTATGGGGGTCGTTTATAGAAATATCATTTATTTCCTCAGAGCAACCCCGAGAGGAAGGAGGACTAGCTTTAAACTGCCGATGAGGAAACTCCTGTTGAAGCACACTTGACCAAGAATACTCAATGCACAGAGTTCCCACCTCCAAGCTGTTCCCATTGCTCTGTCCAGCTAAAGAGCACACTGGGAGCAACATAGAAAGCCCACCACTGTAATCAACCGCAGCTCCATAGTGCTAAGCTGGCATGGGGTTCCAGCGCCCCCTGGGGCTGGGGAGAGGGACAGCAAGCTCCATGCAATGCAACAGCCCTCCCTTCCTTCCTATCCTCTGCCTGCTGGAGACTGCCCCAGTTGGTTTACAGCCTCGGAGCACTGAAGAGGAAGACTCTGAAGGTCAACATCAACCTCTTCCCACAGCAGCCTGGCTCTCTCTCGATTCTTCACAGAGGCTTACTGGCAGGCTCCTCTGGGCCGTGGAGTGGAGGAGCCGTAGCCTCTCACACACCTGTGAGACAGTGAGGAAGCTTTTCTCAGCCCAGGGGCTCTTCTCCTATGCTCCTCACAGAGGATGCCAGCTCTCTTCGTCCCTCAGAGGAGGCTGAGCAGCAAGGTGTGCAGCGAGCTCTCCATCATCAGCCCAGAGCCGTGGGAAAGTGGGAAACGGTTTTCTCGCTACCTAAGGTCTGTCTGGACAGGCTCCTCACCTGTGACTCCTCCATCCCTGAGACCTCACAGGGCTCGTGGTAGGCTTCATCCGTTATTCACATTTTAGAAGGATGCGAAAAATATACATTGACTCCATTTGTAAAGACTTTGAAGGGGTCCTAAAATAACCATAGACAAAGCCGGACTAGACTTCGCCCAGAAATGAAGACTGGCATTTCTAGAATTCTTGTAACATGATGAGTTTGAAAGATGTGTGTCATCTTCTAATGCTGGCCTGACCATGAAACAAACAGTAAGCGGAGGTCGGTGGATCTAGATGGTCCACGTGTTCATCCAAGAAGAAAACACTGCCAAGTATTTTGAATCACACTGGCTTTACACAGGGAGCTTCCTCAAAGGTGGTGAAAACTGACCCCACCCCATTCCCACCCCCAAGGACTCCTCCCTCCCTCCAGATCAACTTATATGTAGAATGCCCCAAAAGAGCTCAGGGCACCTGAGCCATGTGTTGATTTGAGGCTGGGTGAGACTTGTTAATACACTTTTACACGGAACACAAATATCTGATAGCCATTTGCTTTGTTGACAGAATCTTTGAGACAGTGCAAGGTAAAGAGAGCCACGTGTGAAAGGGTCCCAGATGTTCTGGGACAGCTGGCTTGCCCCTGACATCATCAGGGCATCATGTTTCCAAACTATGGAGGGGTGAGAAGTTCTGCTCCTACGGAAGGTCTCCGCTGTGGTGAAACCTACCCTTCTAACCTGCACAACAGCCCCTCACCAAACTTCCTGACCTTACTTCACACACTTCCACCATGCTCTGATTGTTTCTCTGAGTGTGACCCTCCTGCCCAGATGTCCACTCTTCTGTACCCACCACCCAGGACAATTCGGTCTCCTCTGTTCAGAAAGTTCTTTCTCTCTTTCCCAGACACATTACAAATGCCTGCCCTCTACTAGAGGACCCTCCCTGGTTTTCTGTCCAGCTAGACACAGACCAGACAATCTCAGCCCCTGGACCGTATCAAAATGAACTGCATACATCTAACGCATTCCCTAAAGGTGAACTTCCCCGAGGCAAGGAGCACTCAAGCCTACGACACACAGGAGAGTCACAGACTGCCTCTGAATAGAAAGCACCGGGGAAGGCATCCCAAATTAAATCCCATAAAGTGCCACTTCCCTGCCACAGTCTAGCGCAGTGGTAAAACGCGGGGGCTTCAGTATTTAACCCTTGAGCCATCTGACACAGCGTACTTTAGAATAGGCAGTCTGCACACATAAACATCTTCTGAGGCAGGATACATGTTGACACTAATTCACCTTAGCAGTCAATTTACATTGTGCTGGCCTGGAAAATCCTCGTATTTACTTAACGCCCGGAGTACTCGTCTTTCATTCACAAAGCTCGAAAGAAACAGAACAGACTCTCCTGAAACTTCTCAAATATTTTCCAGGCAGGCTAAACAAAGTCAAGAGCATTTCAGTTGAAAGGCATGCTTTTTGTTTAAGGGAGGGTGAAGCTAAAATTGGGGACAGAACCAAGGATGTTGCCTGGTGACATGTTTAGATTGAGTCTTCAAAGGAAAGAGACTGAGAGCAATCTCCAAGGTCCTAGTTTGTCATAAAACATAAGCCAGTGTGCAATGGAAGGCAGGCGTCTCCTTCCTTGTGCATGGTCTCCAAGCCTGTGAATATGGGTCACATTAAGCATAAACATTCATCACCATCACTATGACTATAAATGTTCCTCAGAGTTACAGAAAACATGGGTGTCCCTTAGTATCTTTTCTTACGTCAGTTCTGGTTCCCTATGCCAGAAACATCTCTCACTACCTCCGTCCCAGAGCCTCCTGAATGCTTAGGCAAGTCCGCGACCCTCAGCTGTATCCTTAACCCTCTTTTTATATTTTTCAAAGCAAAATTTTGACATAGGGGTCTTGCTATGTTGCTTATGTTGGCCTTGAACTCATTCTATAACCAAGCAGCTGTTGAACTTGACAGCCTCCCATGTAAGTGGAATGACAGGCCTGAGTCACCAAGATCAGCTTCTCTGCTTTGTGATGTCCTTTGCAAAGGTCTCAGTGAATCCCCCAACTCCCCTACCCCTGAGCTCAGCATCCCCTTTCAGGACATTCAACGTTCATGAACTTGTCTTTGTTAGCAGTTTCAGTGAGTACCTGATCGGGTCTCCCGTCTGTCAAAAGGTAGATGGCTTGTGTTTCTTTATCAGCAAAAGCAATCTTCAGGGCGTTGAGGGTGTTTGTGGAACTTCCAACCTATGGAGGCAGAAAAGAGACAGCCAAAGGGGATCGAAAAAGCAAGTGAAATATATTCTCTGCTCAATGGATCGGGTGGAAGGGGGTGGGACTTCTGGAATAAGAGACAAAATTTCATTGAGAAAATGGTTTAAGACCAGCTATTCCAAGAAACCAAATGCCCCAGGTAGGCTAACGGGGCCTCTAGCCAGGTAGTTTGAGGTGTGCTATAAGCCAAGGCTGTGTATTTCCTGCCTCGACAACAAGGGTCTCAATGCCATCTTCATCTGTATGTCTGTGTGCGATGTTCACTCAGTTAAGGATGGCTTTGCTGTCAGCAGAGCTGAATCAAGCAGCCTGGATGCATCATGTTTGCTTCAACTCGGGATTTATTCATGCCACCTAGCATTTGGCGAACTCCAGTGTGGTCATATTGATGGCCAAATGATGAACACATGAATGTTTCTAGCATAAATCCAACCTACAAAGGTTAGGGTGGAGAATTGACCTTAGAATGCATGGCATATTATTGGTTCTTATGGGCATGCCGGGGTCCTGATGTTCTGCGTTTATTCCTGATGGAAATAAACACACATAGCTGGCAACCTGGGTCTATGGGCTCCATATCCCTGGGATTCAATCAAACAAGTTAAAATACTTAGGAAGAAAATTACACAAATATTGAATATCTAAAATAAGAAACATTATCCCCTTCAAAATATAGTAAGTATGCACTATACTATAGTAAGTATAGCTTCATTTATATTATGTTACATATATGTAACTTGGTGATTGAAAACATACAAAAGGGTATGCACAGTTCATTTGCAAATTGCTCAATTTATATATAAGAAACATCTGTCAGTTTGGGTATCTATGGGAAAAGGGAGATCCTAAGACAACTTTCCCATGGCTACTGAGGGCTAACTGTATAAATTAAAATCACAGTCAATCAAAGAGAATAAATTACGGCTTATTTTCTCTCTCACATATGACACTAATCATAACACCATCCACAATTCTTTGTATAAAAAGAGTAAGAATATACACATTGCAAGCCGAGGAGAAATAATGATAGGTTTTTTAAACAATGTCACCAAACACATCAAAGCAACTACAAATTAGAAAATCTCATGTACCAGTACAGAATGGAATGAAATCAGATAAATTAGATTGGCTAGAATGCACTTTATTTGACATACAAAAATGAGCCTTACCAAGATAAAATCTCAGACAGTAAGACACACGGGACTTCAAGATTTCCAAAGCCCTCATCTCAGACCCAGGGTATCAATTCAACAGAAGTTGTAAGCAAGAAAAACAACTGTGATTGATCCAAGCAAGTGAGAATTTATACAAAGGGCATCTGGATGGCCCTCTGCCAGGAAAACCTAGCTTGGGACCTCACACCATGGAGTGGAACCCAGGCCTGCTGCAATACCAACAGGGCACCAGATGCTGTGGTTGGCCACACTGAACCGGGGACTGTCATCCATGAGACAGACCAGCAGCCCTCTGCCTCTGCCACCCAAGAAGCTTCACAAGTACGCATATGCCACCACTGTCATGGTTCTTGCTGGGAGACCCACCACCCAGAGTCACTGTCGCTCAACTCAAATCCAGGGAGGCTACTCTGAGGCTGTGCACCTGAGCAGAGTGCTGGCTCCTGAGCCAGATGGAGGCCAGAGTTTCAACTTCCATATTGACAGCAGGCTCTACCTCCCTTGTGGGAATCAGGATGAGAAGATGGAGACTGGAAAGGCAAGCATCCAGCTCATATAGAAATCTTATCAAGCTTCGCTGTGGGCCTTGGATGCCCTTTCTGCTAAGGCTGCTTAACCCCAGACACAGGTGGGGATGCTGTGTGTCCCCCCCATGCAGCTCCTCCCCTCTCCTATTAGCCTCCACGAACTCTCCGAGGGTATTTAATAAGCACCCAAGACCCACTCGCCATACATCATGATGGGACTGGAACACCACTTACCAAACCAGACCAAACCCTGTCTGGAGAGGGGTTGACAGGGCAGAGCCTGGAAACACTACCAACCGCTATGCCAATGACACCTGGCATAGGCTGCATTACTCTAGCTGAGTGGATAGATAAAAACGCCTCAAGGCAGGACTGGCATGGAAGGCTATTAAGAGATGAATGGATGAGCAGGCAAACAGAGATTACTTCCTACCTTGTTCGGGATTGCGTTTTTACCCTATGGCATAAGGAGACTCGGACTTAGCAACTTCTATTCCTGTGTCCCCAGAAGGTCCCCCACCAGCAACAGGCAGCCCCTATTACCACACCCGGCAGGAGCTGAATGGGAGTCCAGATAGAATGAGGGGGCTCTGCAAACTAAGTTGTTGCTGGTGTAAAAGCCCACACATGTAAGCCAGATCCAACAGGCTAAACCTAAACACAGCGTCTACTTGCTAAGTGACAAGACTTCAAAGGGATTGGAGTCTCCTGACATAATAATAAAAATCTCCCATAATGCAATGAAGCAAACTCACTCATCCTACAAAGAACCAGAAAATAGTCCTTTTGTCTAAGAAAAGCGGTCCAAGTGCTGCCCTCCGAGATCACAGAGACAACAAAGCAGATAGAATACTAACACTATAAGAGTTTCAGAAAAAAGCGAGGAGGGAGTGAAGAATTTAAACAATACTTATGGCTTTTTAAAAATCCCCAAGGACTTGGGGCTTATAAGTATGTACTGTTCTTGTAGAGGACCCAAATGTCTTTCCCAGGACCCACACTGGGTGACTGTTCCAGGACATATGATGTTCTGACCTGTGTGGGCCCCTGCATTTACATGCACAATCCCACATTATACACACATATGTACACATCATTTAAAATCATGAAAATAAATCTAGTCCCTTTGAACCTGGGTGTTCATTTCAACATCTTTCCCTTCTCTGTCCAGCAAAAGATAAAACACATCGTATCCCCTTTCTCCTTCCCTAATGGTGTGTGTGTGTGTGTGTGTGTGTGTGTGTGTGTGTGTGTGTGTGTGTAGGGGATGTGGAAATGCAAGGCAAGAATGGAGGTCGGAGGGCAAACTGGGAGAGTCAGTTTTCACTTTCTAATTTGAGTTCTGGGAGACTGGATGTAGGTTGTCAGACTTGGTGGCAAGCACCCACCTTTACCTGCTGAGTGGTTTTCTGGTCTTTAAGTTCTTCCAGAATTTCTTACCCTGTTTCACCAAGCACCTTTCACCCCAACTTTTTTGCTGTCTTATAATATAAACTCTTTGCACCTTTGTGTCTCTCTCTTAAATGCCCCTCTCTCCTCCTGAGAACCTAGCTTGAAAATTTGCATCTAAGATGCAACTCATTATTCCATAATTATTTGCCATTTGACAACTTTTTCTTCAAAAACTGATACATGATAGTTTTTTTTTTACTTCATCATATCATGTAGATGGTTCAGAAGAACAGATTTATATAAAAACTTCAATACAGTAGCAACTTTATAAGGTGCTTATCAGCAGTTTGTGGAGCTTGTCTATAATCTTAGTAGTAGCATGAGACAGGATGGTCAAAAGTTCAAGTTCAATGCTAGCCTGAACTAATAAAAAGTTAGACCTCAAAAAAGAAAGGTAACAAGAATAAACAAATAAAAATCTTGATAACTGTTACAAATAAGTAAATCTTTTCTTAAAAAAAGTCCTCAAATTTTCTCAAATTATAATAGCTAAATTTAAGAAGTTTAGAAAACCCCAAATAGTTAAAATTCTATGAAAGTCATAGCTAGAAACATTGTGTGTAAATTTCTGAAAATTAAACACACACACACATATATACAAAGAGAAACAGTATATTATAGTGCCCACTAAGGAATTCTCTTCTGAAACCACAGAGACATAAGGAAGTGGCCCAACTTGTTTCAAGTGTTGAAAGAAATGAATCTCCAGTCATAACTTTACATCTGGTGAAAATATCTACTCCAGGGCTGATGAAGAGCTATGAGATTCTGTTGCTGGGGGTCTCATCTGTAAAGGGTGGCTAATGGAAACTTATGGCTCAAAAGAAAACAATAGTAGAAAATCAAACCCTGAACATGGAAGTCATTACAGAAGACCATCCTTAACTCCCCAAATTTCTCAAGTCATGGGTTACAGTTTAAGGAGGTTTCATACCAATAATGACTTACAGAAGAGCCTTTTCGGTTACACTTTTAATATGTATGGAGCATAAAGGGTGTAAATTGAAATCAGGCTTGCTCACTTCAAGTCATAATATATCAGGACCGGGAGCTGTGATATATGGCAGTTTTGCATAAAGAAAGCCACTAGAACGAGCATTCAGAAAACCATATGAGTTTTCGGCTACAGTAAAAAGTAAAATGAGAAGTTAAAATGGGACACTAAAGGAACCCAAAGGACCCAGGAGAAGGCAAGGGAAAAGGATGAAACCAAGAATTCTACAGAAAGCAAACAACCAATGGTAGACATTACCCTCAGATATCAGCAACACACACACACACATGGTCTTAATACCCTGTTACTTGACAGGGATTGGAGAATTTACAAAGTCTTCACCAAATTCCTTGATGTCTAAAAAAAAAAAAAAAAAAAAAGCCACTTCAAATACAGAAACATGGATAAACTGGAGATAGATAAAAGGATAAAAGTGATACATTGTAGATTTATTCTTTTAAGCAGGAATGGCAATGTTAACAGCACACTTCAGGTTTTTGCAGTGCGGTTGTTGGTTTTTGTTTGAAGTTTTATTTTTGTTTTTGCTAGGTAGATAAGATGGCTCCCAACTCATTGCCCTCCTGTCTCTGCCTCCTAAGGGCTGGGATACTCACATATGTACTACAAAGCCCGACTCACTACGCACTTTAGAGCAGTGAACATTATTATCAGGGACACAAAGGACGCATTAACTAATGACAGGAGGCTCAGTCTATAGAGACAGCAACTCTAATACATGTGTGCCACACAAGAGAGTTTCAAAATACACAAAACAAACTTTGATGAAACTGAAAAAGAAAAAAAAAATAGAGAAATGACCAATTATGGTTATTTTCTTTAATAGCCAGCACTGTGGGAGCTAGATTATGTAAATTTAAGTGTTTTACTCAATTTCCCATAGTTTATAGTAAGTTTTACATTTTTATGAAGCATTTTACAAATATAAAAACAATTTAGGTCATGCCAAGTTTGCCTTCAGCCATCGTGGGATCAAAATTAATTAACAGAAAGGCAACTTGAAAACCTCCCGACACCTGCCAGTCAAATGGCGGGCTTTAAATAGTTCATGGTTCAAAAAAGAAAACACAAAGAGTTAAAACCCTCTAGGAATTATGGGAAATTCAGTAGAATGTAGCCACGCTGACAGGGAAATCCGTGCCAGCTAGTAGTTTATGCTGGGGTAATGGAAACACCTCCAAAAGCAAGAAAGAAGAGCAATGTCCACTCAGAGCGAGCAGAAATAGAGAAATAACGCCAAGAACAGGATCGGAGAACTTCAACAGTACAGCAATACAGAAAACAAATGAAAATAGGGCGGCTGTTTTTAAAAAGCCATTGTAGCTGGGTTCAGGGGCTCCTGCCATCCTCTTGGTACCTGGGAGGCAAGTGGGAGGCTGGATTCGGGCCAACCTGGGCTACACATCGAGAGGCTGCCCTAGAAGAAGCCAGACATGTGGCACACACCTGTAATCCCATCTACATAAGAGACTGAGACAGGAAGGCTGCAAATTCAAGGCCAGCCTAGGTGACTTAGCAACCCTAACCTCAAACTGAAATTGGAAAAGGCTAAGCCTGAAGCTCAGTGAGAACATTCACCCAGCATGTTCCAGGCTCTGACTCAGTTCCCAGTGTCACAAAACCCAAACAAACAAACAAAAAATCAGACAATGCTCTTCAAAAGTGTCAAGGTCATGTAAGTCCAAGGACGCTTTCTCCTACTGGGGAAGACTAAGGAGTTACTGCAGTCGGAAATGATTTTGTGGAAAGTCTAATGGCCTCTGATTAAACTGAACTACCATTCTGCTAATAGTACCAATGTGAGTAAAGCAGAACTCACTGACGTCTTTGCTCAATAAGGCTGGATGTATAATGCCCCAGTAGACAGCCAGCTCTCCACTACCAACATAGCTCCTATTACTGGTAGTTTATTAAAAAAAAAAAAAAAAAAAAAAAAAAAAAAAAAAGAAAGAAAAAAAGAAAAAGAAAAGAAAAAAAAAGAATGCTGGTAATACTGGAAACTTAACAGGTTGAGTATGACCTTGACACTCTATCCCCAGGGTAATATGGCCAATTACTTAAAGATATTACTTTCTTATTCAATATATTGCCTTCTTTTCTCATTTTAAAAGCAATCCCAAAAGAACTTGGGACGACCCAGTGTCTGCCTGGGCCTGCTTTAATCAGGCAGGATTCAGGGAGCTCAGATAATGTCTGGTGTGGCTGCTGGGCAAATCTGGGACTCTATACTCTAGCAGCAAGCTATTTTAAGCAACTTTTTAAACAGTTCTGTCTCGGATATTTAAACGTCTCTCAAAGATCTGGAATGCCATATGGTTCTGGAGCATATTTAAAATTAAGAGAGACTCAAGGCAAGAGAAAATTCTAGAAGAAGAAAATTCTTCCTGGTCGCCCATGTGATGAGAAACAACAGCATAGCAGATCTCCAAGAAAAGCGCAGGCCTGAGAAATGGCTTCTCTCTTTCCCTGAATCCCGCTCCTCTCTCTTGCTCTCAGCCTTAGGTGCTCAGACTGCGCTGTCTCCAGGAGTCCATTGCTTCCGAACAAAGTCCAGTGTTAGGAACAGCTGCAGTAGGCCCTTTGAACCTCTGGAACACTGATGGAGTGTCAGATGGGTCAGATCTGAATGCCTGAGTACCCAAAATACTATCTGTCGAAATCTATGTTCATCACAAGGCTGCAAACTGAGCTCAGGACTGATGTTGAAAGAGAGCCACCTTTCCTTGTCCAAGGTTACACACCCACACAAATCCAAACAACTGTGGAATGAGGATGCACGCGCACACACACACACACACACACGTGCATGAACACGAGAGTGATTGCATCCTGAGTTGGGGAGATGGCTGCATGGGCAAAGCCCTTGCTGTGCAAATGATGAGTATCTGAGTTTGAACGCCCAGGACTCATGTAAAAGCTGGGTGCCATCGTGTACATCTGTAATCCCAGCACTCCTGGTGAGAGGCAGAGAATTCCCAGAAGCTCACAGGATAGCTGCGCTGAGGGTTGGAAGCAGCAAAAAACAAAACAAAGAAGCCTTGTCTCAAACAAGGTGGACCAACACACAAGCCCGGTGGCTCATGTATGCCTGAATGTGCACGCAGAAATATGCATATACACAATACAACGTTGCATATGCACATGCATTGAAAGATTGTCTGTTTGTATCCCCTAAATGATACAGTATAACACCAGTTCCTTGCACTGGATGTGGTGAGCTGTGCAGAGATGATTTCTGGCACATGGAGGTTTGTGTGGGCTTCGCTGAAAAAACTCTCACAGCGTTTTATATTACGGATTTGAGCATCTGTGGCTCTCGTAGGATGCGGGGGAGGTCCTGGAATCAATCTCCCATGGATACCAAGGGATGATGACTATAAATAGATGTTATCTAAACGTTAAGATGACTAATGAGATTGGATGAATGTGACCTTTGCAGCCAAGTAACTGCCTGTGTATAAACACTGCCTTTCTTGGAGCTCAATCCATTTCTCAACAATTTCTGTCCTGTGAGTAAACTAAGTACACTTTGAGACATTTTCAGACTTCTCCCACACCAGACACTTTACCTTAATGTCTCTAATCCACGACTCAGCCTGTTCCAAATTATCTTCATTGATTTCAGTGAGTTTTTCCCGCCAAGCAATTGCCTGGCCATCAAATGTCACAAAATTGAATTTACTCTTGTATCTCAGCTGTTCCTGTAAGAGACAATTACTATTTAACCATAAAACCACTCAAATGTAAGAGAAGCTGAAAAGAGATTCTCTGGGATACCCATATTTAGTTCTATAAACTAGCTAAAACTTATGTTCAATTGAAAAAGAAGCCTCTGCCGCAAGAGGCATTTGAGTCAAAATGATACAGTTTGGAAGCTTGGCCTCTACAGATGTTAGATGTGAATGTATATAGTGTGATAGGCCACATATGCATGTGTAAGCAATATTGCACTATAACATTTAATACTGGTACTAATGCTATGCTGAATAAATCCTTAAACCCAAAATGTCACCATTTTGGTCGCCACCTCTTGGGAAAGGCTCTCATCTGGTACAGACCTAGTCATTTGCCTGTCGGCATCCTCGACCCCACCCCCATCCCCACCTCCAGGAAGCTGGTTACGAGCTGTATTTTGTATTTCTTAAACATTCTCTACTCTTAACACAACAGACTCATGACAATATTATGAGACCTGGTTACTATGGAAACCGGATTCATAAAGCAACCTGCTTCCAGGAAAATGAGTCAAGGGCAGCTCAGGTGAATGGGACAGAACCTGGGAGCTTTTATCACAAGCCTCCCCCCCTTCCCATCTGCAGCTGCGGGATCAGTTCACACAGCTTTCCCAACAGACATCGGAAATTCAATGAAAAATTCAAGACAATGAACATCTGCGAAACAACAGAGACTTCCGTGTGTCACAGGTTAGAGACAGCTCTGGGTGGAAAGTATAGATGCACACTTAAGTGACCCAGAGGTGACAGTGACATAAAGAACCCAACCGAGGACAGGTCTGATCGCCAGGGAACACTGACAGTTCGAGGATGGTGAAGGGGAGCATTTCTGGACTGGCTTGCTCAGGGATCCTTCAGCGCAGTGTGGCCCTGTCCGCTGTCTAGAGCCACTACAGACAATGACTACTGGAAATGTGTTTCGGGGACACCAGCCTGAGCCCAAGAACATGACAGTCCCAGCTCACCTGTATGAACTGAATGATCTTGTCCTTCACCAGGTCCAGTGTGCTCTCCATCGACTGAGATGTGTCAATGAGGACATAGACGCAGTCTCCACTCACTTTTCCAAAGAGGACCCGACTTCCGTCCTGTAGCCACTGAATCCTAGACGGGACAGAGTGTCAAAGTAAGCAGAGTCTATGGACAACAAGATCGTCTTCATCGGAAGACAGGGCTGCAGAACCAGAACGCAGAGGACTCAAATTCAGTTCCCAGCACCTACATCAGGCACTTCACAACTACCTATAACTCCAGCTCAGAGGGACCCAAAACCCTCTTCTGGCTTCGGAAGGCATTTGCATGGGCACATATGCAAGCGCGTGAGTGAATGCGTGCGTGTGTGTGCGCGTGTGCGTGTGCGCGCCCGCGCGCCCGTGCACACACACACGAACACACTAATAAAAACAAATCTTTTTAAAAGAAACTTTTACATTTTGACTGGTCCTTTTATCAGGTCCCTCTACTTCCCATCACCAATTGGAGCAAGGAGGAGGAGGAAGAGAAAGGAGGAAGAGATACAGCATAATTGGTGTAGGGACATGTTAGGGGCTGCAGGTGAAATGGGAGGGGGGGATTTCTATTTCATTACATAATAACAAAATTTTCAAGCATAAATACAAATCATAATAAATAATAGAATTTAGAAGACCCTAAATGGGACTCCTTGAGGGATGCATCTGAAGTGAGAAGTAAATTATATAGCATTAATAGTAAGCAAGACAGCAGTAGAAAAGATCAGAGAATTGTCTTTTAAAAGCATAGCAGTAGGAAGCAAATCAAAGTGAAACAGAAAATTAGAAAAAGAATTTTGTAACATATAAGAAGCATGTCTATAATTAGACTCTATAACAGCCAGGAAAGGGAGAAATAGAAAAGATATTCAAAAAATTTTCTATTTTGATGGAAACAGCGTGCCTACAGATTCAAAGAGGTCAAAAAAACCAACGGAGGAGAAGAAAAGGAACCACAGCAAAATGCATCATGAATTTGATGAAACCCAGTGATTAAAAGCAGCCAGAGGTGGAAAAGTTCACAATGTATTCTTAGGAAAGAGTCTAAGAATAAAGGTCTTTTTTTTTTTTTAAATCATAAATCACACAAGCCAGAATACATGGAAGATTTTAAAAAGAAACAACTGATAAAAATTTCAAACTAGAATTCTGTATGTTGCAAAAATATCTTTTTTTAAAGGTGGGGGTAAATTAAAGGGGTTTTCAGTGTAACAGTGCCAATACAACTCATCACTAACAGACTTGGAAGCACAACAGATCTTAACAAACACTTTCGGGTAAAAATGAAAGGGTGCCCAGTGCAAGTCTGGGATTATATACAGGAGCAAAGCGTAATAGAAATACAACACGTATTTATTCTAATTCTTAGTCATTAGATTAGGATACTAGACTATTTGTAATGCATTGTTGGATTCAGAGACGCTGCATAGATAACTCTGTAGTAACTGTGGAAAAGACACAGGGGATGGACATTGTAACATTCTCATACACAAAGTGGTATGACTGTGTCTGAAGGCAGACCGACAGGTTAATATGTATAATGAAAATGTAACAGATAAGGTGATGGAGACAAAGGGAAGTCATAAAAAGGTAACAGAAGAGGGCATACAAGTTTAAAAGTAAACAAAAAGGAGACAGGGCAAACAGGAAAAAAAAAAAAGACAGGATCCCAGATTTAAATGGAAGCAAGTTAATAAACGTCAACCATCATGACACTACAACCACTGGTACACATTCTGTCTCCAAGTAGCTCAGTTAATAATGAGCCAGAGGTAGGCAAAGAGAAAAGGATGGGAAAAGAACCATGGAGACCGACTGTTCAGCCAGAGTGACTAACTGTTCAGATATCAGACCAAGTACACTGCTTAACGAGGACTCTTAGCAGAGCTGAACAGGCTATTTCACGTTATAAAGGAGCTGGTCCGCCAAGTAAATGTAACAGTCTGAAACACATATGCACCAACTAACAGGGTTTCAAGGTAGCGAGGGAAAGCTAACAGACCGGAAACAGCCACATAGAAACGACTCAGTGATTTCAACAATTTCCTCGATAATGTTTAGAACCAGTGAAGAGAAAATCAGTGAGTGCGGGCAACCAGAACAATACTGCCAACAAAATGCAGCCTGTATGTAACCGACATACAGAGTACACTTTCCAAAGAATACAAAAGTTTGCTTTCTAAGTTGTGTGCCACAAAACCCTCCTACAGGGAAGAAAGTTCCAGGCTTCAGTGGTGTTAATGGTGAATTCTTCCAAATATGTAAGGTCAGCATGGTGCCAATTCCCAGAGTTGTACAGAAAGTAGAAAAGGAAATGAGATCCTGCTCATTCTTGACTCCAGGAAGACAAGGAACAAACGGACTCAGAGCTGGAGTGCATTTCAAGCAGCATGTTCCCTACAAGACTGGAGACACAAACCAAAGAGTCAGCTCTGAAGCCATGGCAGAGGAGAGTCTCGATACAGGGACAGCTTTCTGTGAGGTGCTGGGGCTCTGGGTATAAATCCTGGGCAGGTGGGTGTCTGCTACATATGGCTTTGTAATAAAAACAGCTTGAGGATGGAGGGGATGCTCATTGTTGAATGACTGTAGCAGACTGCCACTGCCTTAAACCCATTAGATTTAGCATGTGGCATAATCCTCAGAGCAGATTTACAAACGCCATCACCATTCCCACTTTATAATCAAGGAAACAGATGCAAAGACACATTAGCTAACCTGCCTAGGGTCAGACAGCAAGCGGTAGAGCTGTGGTCTTCGTTGTTTTTAAATTTCTTGTTTTTCCAGTTCTCTGAGACCTCAGGGCCAACGCCCCTCAGTGAATTTCATCTCCATAGTCTAAAGCTGTCCCCTGACGTCTGAAATCTGAGGGTGCTCATTTAAATCATCCACAGGGAGACAACCCTGAGGTCATGGCTTCAGTACACTATTCTACAAGCATAGCACATTGTAAGAGCACAACATGATAAAGACTGATAGGAAGTCATGTGTTTTCAAAAACATACATAGCATCTGATTGTTTCCCAATATGTCACAGCTATGGAAGAGTTGCCTTGAGATGAAATAGCTCTGTAAGAGAGAGTATAGACACAGTATAGTCTGCAATATACCTGTGGCCCACAAAAGCCCCCAAAGCACAGACAGAACTACCCTTAATCTCCTGACAGCCAATACTTCAAAATAGCTCCTTTGGAAACTGAGGAGATGGCTACATTGACAAAGAACCTGTCACAAAAATGTGAGGACCCTCAGCTCCGATTCCCCAGCATCCACATAAAAATCTGGGTATAGAGGTGTGTGTCTGTGACCCCAGCCCCAGGGCGACAGAGACAGGCAGCTCTGTGCAGTACATTTACCAGCCAGCCTAACAAATCACTGAACTCCAGGTCCGTGAGACACCCTATCTCAAAAATTAAGATGGCATCAACCTCTGTGTCCCTTTCACATGCATACATGTGTATTTCCACCATGCACACATGTGCACGTGTACGTCCACCATGCATACACAATAACACCTCCATGTTCTATCTCTGATGGAATCTGGGTACCAGTATTTCCCTTTAGCTAATAATGCCATCAATAAACTATCAGATGGGAACTTTGACAATGGTGTCTATTGGCCACTTCACTCGGTGGAGCCCTCGTAGTATGTCACGAGAGACTAGATGGCTAGTGGCCACATACAGACATACCAACCTCCTCTGGATCCTGGCCAGGGCTGTGTGAATTTTCCCACTATACCATTTGCACTTCTCCTTGGTAATGTTGACATGGACCAAGCTTCCATCCTTCCAGGGGACGTGGATGAATCTTCTGCAGTATCTGGCGTGGACTGTCTTCCTGTTGATGTCCTAAGGAAAGGACAAAGCTCATTCTTAGGAAAACAAAAGCCACGACCCCTCACGTGGGCCCACAGAATCACTGAAAACTGAATCAAATCCCGGCATCTCTGCCTCCGTTTTGTATCTGTTTCCTCTGAAGCCATCACCCCATCACTGGGTAAATCTGCACATTTTGGCATACTAGTCTCCAAAGGCGTGCCTGAGTGTAACACAACAATGGCTAACATTGCTCCCCCCCCCCTCGAGGATAACGGTAAGAGCACCTGAAACCTCTTACTGTGCAGTGTCCTGTTCCGGATCCCCACCCTCAATCCCACCCCAAAAAGGAGACTGAAGGTGTATGGTAAACCTGCAAGTATTCTGGATTCCAGGACCAGCAGAGCCTCAAAGACACATGACTCCACAATGAGATGCCCGTTCACACACACACACACACACACACACACACACACACACACACACACACACACAGCACTAGCCAGCTTACAGGAACCAGACCATGCCTCTCAACAGCAGCAGTAACAACTTCAAAGTTCACAGAACCAGAACTGAGACAAGATCAACCAGACCGAGCTTGCCCAGGACACCTGACGTATGCAGCCCTTTCCCTTCACCCCAGTCCTTCCCGCGTTAAGGATACGGTTCAAGGCGGTGCCCCCCTTTTCCATACTTCACACTGTGATCAGCAGCCATGTCGATGGGATCGTTCTCTGCCAGTGACTGCTGCCTCTCGAAATGAAGCAGTGGGGTATGGAGGAGCCTGTTCTATGGGGAAGCCCAAAGTTTGGGCTTTGGGGCCAAACCTCTGATAACAAGGCTGCTCAGAAACCATAGTAAGGAAGAAAAATAGCCAGGTGGCACCCCACATGTCTGCTTTACTTGTACAGCTCCTAGCACACATCTCCACGGCAACACGCAGGTTAAATAGCTTTGGGATTGCGCTGGATGCATGGAACAGTCTAAGATGGGTTATGGGGATGTATGGGAGAGGCAGACACACAGAGACAGGGGACATGGGCAGGGATGATAGCCTGCAGACCACACTGAGGCTGACAGCGTGGTGGTGGGCAAGCCACGGGGGGGGGGGAGCCCTAGAAAAGTAATCTAAGTGGTATGGTTAGCACTGGTTGTGTGGGCTGTTTGCGGTCCTTCATGATAACGAGGCCAAGGGCACACCTGCGGTACCAGGGCAGGATGGGAGAGGAAGTCATTAGAAGAAGGGATAAAGAAAAGAGAGATCGGAGGGTCGTGCAGAGTCATCCCCATGGGACTGACACCCTGAACACAGGGGTTGGAGTCAGGAGTGACGAGGAAGGAAAACCCATCTTCAGGGACAGGAGCAGGTGCGCTGGCCAGCACAGCCCAAGGTGTTGCGACTGTCTAGCGACTTGGTAAGAATGGTCAGGAAGCAGCCAGAGGGGGAAAGGCTACCACCCACACCAGGCCATTGGGTCCAAGAGAGAGTGCAGTCCCTGATGCAGAGGACACGAGTTCAAGGGTCACACAGGGACAGACAGGTGGTGGGCCAGAGGTGAGGACAGGGTTTAGCAGCGACATGCTGTCAGGGGGAGAGCTCTGTCGTGGTCCCTTTCCTCTCCTTCTGGGCCACATCTCTGGGGCTGTCACACAAAAGCTTCCTCCCTGCCTGCCTCTCAGTCTCATGATGCCATTTCCCTAGAAGTCTGAAGCACAGCCGAGTAAAGCAACAGCAAGCCACAAGGCCGTGGGGGGGGGCAAGCTATCAGGTAGCTGCGTGGCAGAGTGATACGGTGACCCAGATGGTCCCATTCCCACCTGCCTCCGGTGGAAAACCTGTAGTGAGATAGTTCTGTGGCACTGACCACGCCCATTTGGGGTGGAGCCATGGGCGCAAGAGGGCCTTTCCTGGCTCTCCCTCCTTCCACAGGTCACCTCCTTCCACAGGTCACTCCGCCCATGGCTCCACCCCCAATGGGCGTGGTCAGTGCCACAGAACAATCTCACTACAAAAACCGATAGCACCAACAGCTTGATGATGCGGAGCACAAAGCACTGCTTGGGGGGGGGGGTATGCTGATCCTCTCCACCTGTGATGTCAGTGTCTGTGATGGAGAAAAGACCACGTCTCCTGGCTATCTCCTGACTGCTGGGCTCCGTGCTTAGACAGGCATTTCCCAAGCTGTACCTGACAGAATGTTCCGTTTAAAGATATGAAGAAGGAAGCTCTCCAGGCAGTGCAATGATCCCACCTCTTCATCCATCTTGGGAACCCATGCACAGAGATCTTTCTTAGTCATTTATGTCCACGATGTGCAGAACTATACCACATCTAAACGAGTGTTTACACAGATAATCATACGGGGGGCTCACCCGTGGCTGCCAGGGAACCCTAAAGAATCTACCCACTTAAAGCCACAGGGCCTCCCTACTAAATACGTAACACAGCCTTAGGAGTAGCCTGATTTGGGACCTATGGTCTGCAAATATGAAGAAACAATGTTTTTCCCCACGATCTATGAAGGAGAACAGTTAACATAATTCTCAACTTTCTCCATATTATTCTTCATTGGCACAAGAAATGTGAGCTAAGCCCGCCATTTGTAAGACATGTTCTTCAAACAGGCCCGTAAATTTTCATTACCACTGCCAGGAAGGAAGGGAAAGATCAGCATTGGAGCCCGTCCAGAGCCTGCCATACTGTCAGAAGCTCACAGCGGGCTATGCCAAAATTGGCGAGGATTCATACTTTGAAATGCCCGGGACTGAATATTTTCTAAGTGAAAATTTAGTTATGGATGATTTCCTGAATATGACTGAATGATGTCTACAAAGCTAGAGAACTGTGCTCAGGACGAGAGCCACTAATGAGATTTCCCCTGCGCTGGGGCAATTACTCTGCCTCCTAGGATACGCCAGGAAGCAAGCATTTCGTCAATGCTGCGTTTCTCTAATTCGATTTAATACGGTTTCCTCCTGCGGTCCACTGCAAACACGCAGGGTAAGTGGATAAAAGCACAGCATGGCTGAATCTGAACAGCTGGAAGAAAGCAGCCCGACTGGGGAGAGAGGGCGGGCAACGAGCTGGGTGGTCAGCCAGCGTAGTGACACCATCAGAGCATGCAGTGTCCCTCTGTTGGGTCCACAAGCCTGTCAGTATGGCCTTGAGCCGGGATCACAGCCTTTAAGGACACACACGCATGCATGCGCACACACACACACACACACACACATGCACGCAATGCACACACGCATGCGCGCGCATACACACATGCTCGCACGCACATGCACACACACGCACATGTGCACGCACATGCACACGCACACACATGCACTCACGCACATGCACACATGCACATGCACGCACGCACACATGCACACACACACACGCGCGCGCGCACGCGCATACACTGATTTTCTGCTTCACGCTGTGACATTGCTTAGTCTCTCTCGGTGCGTTTACAGTTGGTACTGAGTTTCGTGGCCCCTGCTCTACACACGCGCGTGATATTTCTCAATGTGTAGCCGTTGGTCCTCCACCTTCTTCCCCTCACCTCCGTGTGCCGTCTCTTTCCTCCCCGCCCTCGCCAGGCTCTTGTCTATGCGCTCTTCTACCCATGCCTCCTTCCCTTCTTTTCCACACTGAGTCGGCACAGTGGCGTGAAGCCCGCACCAGAAACCGAGCAGATGCTACACCACACCCTTTGACCTCTACAACTGTGAGCTACATAAGCATCTTTTCTTTATAAAGTTCCCGGCTACAGCAACACAAAATGAGCTGGCTAGGACATAACTAACGTAAACCTCAGACCGAACACTCAAAAGCACACCGTGAGGGTTTAGAAATCATTCATACCGAGAATAACTTGGCCTGTGAGATGCTGCCTCCCCATGGACCCCATTTGGTACAATGGAATTACATCTTTCAGAGCTTGAAACACGTGCTCAGCTGGTGCTATGATTCTTTGGAGAATCCTATTTTATGCTTACTGGAAATCCACTGTTCACTGGCAGCTGCTCGCTGGAGTAATGCATCCTCAAGATGCTTGAGATTCAAGAGGACCACAGAGGTGCCTGGTTCTTTACATACTCACCCACACTCTCTCCCTTCCATTCAACATGGTAGAGCACAGAGCCTCTCCTGTGGCATAACACTGAACAATCCCGGCACTTATAAGGTTTGAACTTCCATTAGCCCCGCTGCTGGCTTGGATATAATTCACATGTATCTGCTGTTATAGGGTAAGCATTTGAGTGTGTCTCCAAAAGCGTCTGTGGTATAGGTCCCCAGTGTGGCCATGCTGGGAGGCAGGAGGGAGAGCTCTAAGGGGTGGGGTCTACTGGAAGGTCTCGGGGTCCAAAAGTATGGGATAAATACAAGCTTTTCTTCATAAAGCACCTGACATCAGGCATTCTGTTTTGGCCACACAGAACAGACTAAGGTATGTAGAAGCCACGTCCAGGCTTTGACTGCCTTCGCGGGTACCATTTAGACAAAGTGGCGGGAAGTGACTGGACACCTATGTCATGGAAACCCTCGATGATTTCCTCCTCTGCCACCTTGGGCTTCTGATCTGAGGCTCCACCCCTCCCCCCCCCCATCAGCTCCCACCTACCGCACTGGTCTTCACAGACTCATCTCCTGGCTTGGCTTTTATATCAACAACTCCATCGGCATGGCGGAAGGAGCAGTCGGCGAGGACATCATAAAAGGTCAGCTTCTGCGCCTTCAGGCCGTATTTGTGGAGCCACTTCTGAGAATCCCACATGTCTTCTGCATTTTCCTTACCCTCAACAGACGTTGCTCCTGGAATCATAGTTCATCAGCCATTCGTATTGCATGACCAGTCCTCAATACTCCTGACCTCGTATTTACCAGTCTAGAACATTCCCACTGCCAAACCATAAAGCCCACGTGTGCCTTCAAGAAGTACACTGCAGCCAGGACTCTTCTAATCTCCTCCTCTATGTGCATGGACTGGCCTCATATCAGAATGGCTCTGGTTGGGAGACCAGGGTCAAGTGTCAGGAAAGCATTGAACACAGGATCAGAAGCTCTGGGTTCAAGTCTGGGCTGTGCCATCTGCTATCTCAGACAAGTGGCCCCAGTGTGACCTATCCATTTGGCCATCTGAGCTCAAGCAAATATCTTTACCTACAGATGGAGATGGTATCTGCCTGGCCTTATATTTATTAGAAATGCATTCTACACTCCCAGGTCATTGAAACAATGCATTTGTTCTATTCAGTACGTGAGAAGGATGGGCTTTTCTTTTGACATACTGTTATCTAATCCAGGGACTCCTAATGCCTGAAGCTCATGGCTTAGGTATAACTCACATAAAATTAGTGATACGACTTAGAAATGTTCTGAGAATGGCCCCCAAAATGTGGTAGATATTTGGTTCCCGATATGGTAACAGGGTCCAAATGAGTATGGCTTCTCATAGGCAGTCCTCAACACCAGTGGTTTCTAAACTCTAGCAACGTGCATGAGAGTCGGGTGTCTCAGATGGAGACCAAGATTTGGCATCGGTTGTGTCTTGGTTCATTTTGTGTTGCCGTGGCAAACAGCAGCTCAGTGAATCCGGTCACATGAATGTGCTTTAATGTGTTAAAAGAAGGTCTGTGCAGCCTATAGGCAGGCAAGGTCAGGCAACACACACACACACACACACACACACACACACACACACACACACACACGTGCGCCTGTGGGCTCAGAAAGTCAGCTGAGGCGCCTGTAGCTGTATCTAGGATGCCTCGTCTCGTCTCACAAGGTCCCAGCACAGGAGGCTAGCCGCCCACCCGCTTTAGGTATAGTCTCCTCTGGGGTCTTCTGAAAATTATCAGTACCCCTGTACCCTGTACCCAGGAAGGACCCAACTGTGAGGTCCTCAGCCAGGGGCTGCTCAGACACCTTGTGATGTTGCACCCTTACTCCTGTGCACGTGGGATTATCTCTAGATCACGCACAACGCCCAGCACAAGGCAGCGGTTGCGAGCAGCTGCTGCGCTGTACGGTTTAAGGAACGATGACAAAACCCCTGCGCGCCGCCACTACAGCTGGCTTCTTCTTAAACACTTTTGGAATCATAGCTGGTTCAGTTGTCAGAGCCTGAAACCACAAGGCACCGACTGCCATTTAACGTTGCTCCTGGGGTTTGTACTGAGCTTTGCCTTCTGTTGCTGCAATGAAACGCTAGACTAACTAAAAGGGTTTATTTCCATTTACCGTTTATAGCTCACCAACTAGAGAAGCCAAAGCAGGAACTCAAGGCAGGAACTGAAGCGGAAGCCAGGGAGGATGCTGTTTGCAAGACACACGCACCTTGCTTTCTTATACAACCCAGGACAATCTGCTTAGGGGGTGGCGCCACCCACAGTGAGCCGGGCGGCCCCTCCCACATCAAACATTAGTCAAGAAAATGCCCCCCCCAGGCAAGCCCACAGGCAGATCTGATGGTGCAGTTCCTTATTTGAAAGTCCCCTTTCCCAGGTCACACTATAGTTGATGAAAGCTGGCCAACACAGAGTTAGAGATGGTTCAGTGGTTAATAGCTCGCTCTTACAGACGGGGATATTTGTGGTCCCAGAACCTGCATTGGGCAGGTCACATCTGACTGTAATTCCAGCTCTGAAGAATCCAATGTCCTCTTATGACCTTTGAAGACACCCACCCACCCACCCACACACACACACACACACACTTTTTAAGTAAAAAACGTTTCTCTAAATGAAAGATTAAATTACTGCCAGGCTTACCACATTTAAGGGGCTATATAATTAGAATAGGGCCTGGGGAAATAAAACAGCTTGCAGCCAATTAGTCCTTGATAACATGTAAAGAGGCTGCCCATGATCGTGTCAGATGAGCCAGGTCCTCGGATTTCAATACAACGCCTTGACAGAATTCACTCTGAAACCTATTAGCATTGGAACTGATCAAAGATGGCTGCTGCTCTCAAACTTTCAGTCAGCGTGGCCCAAAAGCCCTTGTGAGAACCATCCTGAATGCCCTCCATTGGCTTCCACGAAAACCACGATGTCCTCTCACCCTTCTCAAGGAACTCTGTCAGGCGTCTCTTAGAACACAGCCCCTTGAGGGCTCCTGGTACCACTGCAAGCAGCTAACGGATCAGCCTCATTGGGGAATCCTTGCCATGACTTCTTCAGTCGCTGTTAATTACTCTCCGTGTCTTGGGCTTGTTATTCCCTCCTTATATAGCTGATTTCCTTTGCCCCTTTTCAATCAGGGTGATGGGAAATACAATTTCCATTCAACAACTTCCATAATGACACATAACCGTTTGCTCTGTTTTGGGGGCTACCTTCTTAGGTAAAAGATGAAAGCCCTTCATCAAGCTTAAGTCCAAACTTAGAAGAAAAAAGAACTTCTGGAAGCCATACATACTGATCCTAGCAAGGGTTTTTTTAAAGGTGAGCCTTCACCTTGCAGCCTCATGCTTAAGGGAAGGAGTCAGGTTCCCAATTACCACCGGAAAGAGGGTGAAGACCCCTTCCAACCCGAGCTTCATAAAGGAAATCAGAGGCAGCCAAACAATCAGGGCAGAGAGCTCGGTCACGCCAGAGCTGGAGAAACGAGGGGGAAGTGTAGTATTTTTCATTCTCTTTCACTGCTAATTACACCAATTAGTGGCTGAGCCTTGTTAGCCTGAGGAGGGGAAGAAGGGCATCCGTCTGTTCATTAGCGTCACTCACTAAGGGATCCTTTCCCAGTTCTCCTGCAGTTCTTTTAATTAAGAGTGTGAATTCTCACCTTCTGAGCCTTAGCGTCCTGTACTGTACTGCAGAGGTGTGAGATCACAGCGATGCCCGCCTCATCCGCATGACAGACCACTAAAGATGTTCTTGGAGTTCCATGCAAGGGAAGCAGACCGTGGAGCACATCCACGCTGCAGAATTTACTCGCCCAGTCCTCTCCATCCTACCGATCAGTCTCAACGTGTGTATTTCTTCTTCAGGCATGAAGCCGTACTGAATAGTGCATTTGAAAACCATCATGGTATAACCCGGGGCTGGATCAAAATGATACTGGGTGTGGCTTATCAGTACTCACACACCTACCCTCAAAATCAGACCCTTAAGGGTTTACTACACCACACCACACCATACCACACACACACACACACCACACACACGCGTGCGCACGTGCACACACACACACACCACACACACACACACCACACACACACACACACCACACACACACACACACACACCATACCACACACACACACACACACACACACACACACACACACACACACACACCCGCCAACTGCACCCTCTATCCTCCTCCACCGAAAGCTACTCAGCTGCCACATCATTCCTGCTATGCTGGGTTTGTCTACTGTCAGTGAATGAATGCATTCAATTTCTAGAGATAGCGTCAATCTGATGATTCTGCAGTGAACTCCACACGCTCTGCCCCGCCCCCCCCCACGGAGTGCCAATTGCTGCTACTCAGAAAGAGGGCTCCTTAGGCAAAGAGCTGAGGGACCTAAAAACCTTAGGGATTATTATTTTTTTTTTCAGAGCATGGGCAAGGGGGTCTCACCACAAACAAGATTCCCAAGATTCCCAATCCTACTGTTTGGGATTCTGAAGCTATTTAGTTCCAGAGTCTCTCCGGTGAGAGAATTGTGGAGGGCTTGTAGTCTACACACCAGAGACTGATACACACTGGAAGGGAGGGAGGAAAGTGTGGGGATACAGAATTGAGGGCATCTGGGAACAGAACGACATGGACAGGGGACTCTAAGGATTCCAGTGCCTCCTGCCGGGTGACTCCCTCAGTAGAGAAGAGCTGCAGTCCTGTGGTTCCTCTGAAGGTGATGAAGCCAGCTCTGGGTGGGAACCCCGGGGACAGCTGTGACAGAATGGCATGAGCCTGAGGCCCACCTTTGTGCAGTTGCACACATTTCTACGCTCGCTCTTGCTAAAGCATTGGATGCTCAATGCACATGCCCAGTACCTCACAGGTACCAGCCGGGAGGATGGAGATGGTGGACAGAAACCCATGCTTCTTGGCAAAGATGGAGGAAAATATCCTTGGTGTCCTGGAGGGTTTAGGCCGGATGGGATGCACTGAGGGGCCTCGGGTCGACTGTCAAATGGGTGCCTGAGTCTAAGCAGGAAGCTCTAGACTCTGCTCCAAAAGGATTATCAGGTAACTTGCAGAGCCTCCAGGGGAGAATGAAGTGGAGTTCCCAGGGAGCCCTAGGCCTGTCCTCCTCTTTCAACTGTGAAGTGATTTTTATTACTATTTATTTATTTATCTTTACTTCCTTCTTGTTAAATCTGTAAAAATCAAAGTATGGTTTCCATTGCAATGAAGGGCTCTGTTGCTCACCCCATTAGTTTATTCCAGTACTTGGGCGAATAGTTCCTAGAATCCTCTGAGGGTGGGGGAGAAAGGGAGAGGAAGGTAAAGAGGCAGGAAAGGCCCGGGTTTAAAAGGAAGGCAAAGTATTAACAATGACGAGAACACAGAGGAGGGGCAAACATCGTTCGGTCCACAGTTCCCATCTTTCTCTTCCTTACTCGCCTTTCTCTTCCTTACTCGGAGATGCGTGCTGGAAATGGTTTTCCATGATGGCAGCACCTCAGCTGTGAGGGGCCCAGCTCCACAGGACGCTAAACCCTAACACCCGCCCAGATTACACAGCCCAGTGACAAACCTGCACAGGGTTAAGACAAGAACGTCACCAGGAGCTCAGACTGCAGGGCAAGAATCACAGAGCATGCTCCAACGAACCTGCACTCAAAGCCCACTTCAGCTGGGAGCAGCTGAGTACTGCTGGGGCGAGCACCAAGCCCGACCTCCAACAGCAACTTTAGAAACAATTGTGCTGGGAGCCAGAGCGATGGCTCAGCACCCACATGGTGGCAAGCAACTATCTGATGCTCTCTTCTGGCCTCTAGAGGTACTGCACACATGTAGTGTATAGCCACCCAATACCCATACACCTAAAATTCAGAATACTAATAAATCTCCCTTATTAAAAATAGTCAGGGTGTGGCAAGATCTATAAACCAATTCAGGATTTACATATAAAATGGACAGATGAGGTTAAGATGAGGTTTGAGTCCAGCCTGGTCTACAGAGCTAATTCCAGGACAGGCTCCAAAGCAATACAGACAAACACTGTGCCAAAATAACAAAACAAACAAACAAAAAAAAAAACAAAAAAAAAAAACAAAACAAAAACAAAAAAAAACACAAGTCTAAACAGATGTTGGGAGTTTGAGAAATTGTGAGATCTGAAGGTCTCATAAAACTGTAATCATCTGTTGCTTTTCCTCACCTAGAGTCGTTGTGAACATCTTATTTCTAAAGATTCCCGTTCTCGGGCGCCTGTCCCTTTTCTCCATAGGGTTCACTGAAGCACAGAACAACACACACTGCTGAGGTCCCTGACTCAGTCACTGTTCCATTGCTGTGAGGAGACACCATGACCAAGGCAGCTTACAGAAGGAAGCATTATTGGGGGCTTGCTTACAGCTTCAAAGGGTTAATCCATTCTCATCATGGTGGCAGGCAGGCAAGCATGAGCTGGAGAAGCTGAAAGTTTTCATATGATCTGCAATGTGCAGGCAGAGAGGGCGAGCAAGACTGGGCCTCCTGACACACCTCCTCCAACAAGGCCACACCCCTCCAACAAGGCCACACCTCCTCAAACAAGGCCACACCCCTCCAACAAGGCCACACCCATTCCAACAAGGCCACACCCACTTCAACAAAGCTACACCCACTCCAACAAAGCTACACCCACTCCAACAAGGCCACACCTACTCTACAAGGCCACATCCACTCCAACAAGGCCATACCTCCTCCAACAAAGCCACTCCTCCTCCAAGGCCACACCCCTCCAACAAAGGCCACACCCCCTCCAACAAGGCCATACCTCCTCCAACAAAGCCACACCCACTCCAACAAGGCCACACCTCCTAACCCTTCCCAAACAGTTCTACAAACTGGGGATCACCTAGAGTCACTCACTCAAACCACCACAACCCCATTTATCTTATGTCTGCTACTCTTGCTATCCATAACAGCCACACCACTGCTGAGCCTAAGACAACATGTGCTTGTGTATGCTTGTCCCAAAGTATTATGATTTAACTTTTACAAGTAAGTATTTAATACATTAATGCATTTACAAGTAAGTATTTAATACATTAATGCATTTTGAGGTAATTTTTTGTGCATGGGTGAGGTAAGAGGCCAACAGCATTGTGCGTGTATACAATCGAGTTGCCCCCATGCCCTTTGTTGGAAGGTTATTTTCTCCACACTGAAATTGTTTGTCAAAATTAAATCTACAGTAAATACATAGATTTACTTTGGGGCTCCTCTGTGAACCTATGCATCCATCTGTGTTTTCAGAGGGTTTTTTCCTTTTATGTCCAAGATCAATGGAAATTCACAGTTGACTTTGAGGCTGCTGTTTTCCTGCCTTGGCCTCCCAGGATGCTGAAACTACACATCAATGCCACCACATGTGGCCTTTATGCATCCATTTTTGGCCAGCATTACACGGCCTTCATTATTACAGTTCTATTGCAGATTTTAAAGATGAAACAAACATATCTTCCAACTTTGTTCTTTTTCAAGACCATTTCTGGCTATTCTGTGTCCTTTGAATTGCCATATGAGTTTAGGAACAGCCTGTCAATCTCTGCCAAAAAGACAGCTCAGGTTTCTTGCAGGGATTATGTTAAACTTGTAAGTCAGTTTGGAAGAGGCTTCTCAATGAGTTTATCACACAACTTTATTAATATTATTTTATTAATATTAATGATCGGCATCTTCTTTTCAGTATACAATTCTTATGCCATGCTTCCATTAATTATCCCTAGTATTTAAATGTTTATACATGTGCATGTATGGGTGTGTGTGTTTGTGTGTGTGTTTGTGTGTATGGGTGTGTGGTTGTGTGTGTGTTTGTGTGTGTGTATGGGTGTGTGTGTGGTTGTGTGTATGGGTGTGTGTGTTTATGGGTGTGTGTGTATGGGTGTGTGTGTGGTTGTGTGTGTATGGATGTGTGGGTGTATGTGGTTGTATGTGTGTATGTATGTGTGTGTGGGTATATGAACACATGTTCACGTGGAGACCAGAGGATAACCTCTAACGCCTTCCCCAGGATCGCCATCCCTTCCTTTGAGACAGGTC